CTCCTATATTTATTGTTCCATGACATTTATTGCTCCTGTTGTCTACATTGTGTGGTGTTGACTGTTGCACTGTGTACGTCCCTAGAGATATGCGTGGTTAAGAACTCCAATGTATGTGTGCACGAGTCCCTACAGGCACCTGTGGGCTCTCTGTGCGGAGGCACACTAAACCGGCTCTGTGGGGCTGTGGAGCACAATCAGCTCTTCGCAAACAGGTTTGCGTCTATAAAAACACCACCGGCTCTTTGCAAGAGGGCGGGCTTCTAGAAAAACACAACTGGCAAGCCTACAGTTACACAACCAAGCAGGAACCACTGCCTTCAGCCAGGGGTTCCCAATCCTGATAGAGGAGGCCCTCACACCTGCTGGTTTTCATGTCAACCAATCCCAATTCTTCAACGGGAGCCTTAATGCGTCCATCTAGTTCAGTGATGGGAACATTGGCCAGCTTCGTTTTTGTTCTACACAAAAGTTTGGAATTGTAGGTTACTGACTTACGACATGCATTATTTAAAAGACAACCCCGAGCTGAAAACAATCAAACGGTTCAAACGGATCCTACTTTTAAGCCAATTAAGGGTTCAGCTGTTTGGCCGAGCTGGGCTGGAACACAAACTAGTGTTTGGGAGCAGGACTGGGAACTCTGCCTTAAGATGAAGCGCTTAAGGAGCAAGTATCCCTCGCAGAAAAATTCTGCTTGTTCCTATTTGTTAACACATTGTGTACGTGGTATGGTATAATGGCCAACTAATAATCTGGCTACTGTTTAAACTCTCGTTCTCTCATAGGGAAAACAAAACCAACCACTGTATAGTTTGCAATCCAAATGCTGTGAGCTACAAACCAGAACTGGCCAGCTCCACCCCAAACACCAGGGGTATTTCAGAGCTACTGTAGTTTATCTGATTCTAGTCCTGAAGGCTTTACGGACAACAATTACAATTATCCGAGGCAGGGGAACAGAAGTCAAGTGGTGGAAAGATCAGGGGCTCAGCTGGTTTCGAGAACTGGGCGGTGCTGCGGGACTTTGCCCTAGTTGTTCTCTGGCAGACAGCCGATAAAGAGATTTGACCATGAATCTTTACAAGCAGGACCGAAAGGGAAAACGCCTGGTTGTTCTTGTTGTAGCCTTCCCTGGAACGCACAACTGATTTTCCAGAACTGGTCACTGTGGATTTGACACTATATGTCAGGAAGGGGTTGTATCCTGGAGTTTTTTTCCAGTTTACAAGTATTATACATTAGTGCTCTAATATCCAGCAATCTGCTATACCCTGGGCAGCGCCCAGTGCAGTAAACACTGGTTTGAGGCTGTGATTTATGACCTTGTTATTCATTTTGTAATATAATCCATTAAGGAGCATGTATTGAAGCTTTAGCGTCACACTTCAAAGCGTAAAATAAGTAGCGTTTTTATGAGCAATTACAGCTGCAATTAAGGATTGTGAATGTCTGAAAAATAAATCTGGTAAAACAAATTTGCTGAATTTGAAATTTTTTGAAATTACATCATAAAGAGATAAACAGTACTCAAAATATTGACACTTGAGCCGTTAATTAGTAAAGGTTTATTTTAAGGCAGAAACAGGATTTCAGTCTGCTAATAGACTGTGTTTCCACCTACATTTTCTCAGGATGGTCTGCCAGATCAGCTGCAACCTCATTAATATACTTCAAAACCCACAAGTGACAAATTTTCATTAATAAAAATAATATAAACAGGAGGTCCATTATTCAATAAAGCAACTAACAGCAATGCCAAGAATGGAGTTCCTGCAAAAGGAGCCAGTTTCTGACACCAGTCTGGAAATTCAACAAAGCACCTGCACAGAAATTCTGTTGCATGCCATAAAACACCAAAGCTGGGCTCTCCATTAGTTTCCTCTGTACTCAGTCTTTTTTTCCTGTTTACAGCTAACACTGAACATCAGCTGTCAGGCTGGCTTCAGACAGACACTCTCTCTTCCTGTCAGCCTATTCCTGCTAAGGCTGTCACTAAGTCTCTTCAATAAGGCCTCAGTTGATATAAAAAGTCCCATGGATAAACTCTGTCCAGGCTAGGAAACTATCACCAATGACCTTTCAACACTGATGACATAAGCTATGCAAATATTTGTCACCAGGAAGTACTTTCCTTTGTACTATGCCACACGTATTGATGAAGTTTGAAAAGCAGAAAAAGAAGCATTAAAAAGCATTGAAAACACACCGGTTACATGTTCCAATTAGCCATGTGCACTAAGGAAAATCCACTGACTCCAACAAAACGTTTTTAAGCTGAAAAGCTATTTTTCAAAGTATATCAGGTCAAGTATAGTGCCACAGTACACTAGACATACAAGCTTATTAAGGTAGCTGACTAATAGTTGGGATAAGAGTCAATACTTTTAGAAATAAAAAACCTAAAGATCATACAAGGGGGAAAAAGCACATTGTAAACTTTTATTCAATATATAAACATGCAATGCTGCCCTGTTTGAGGTTAGGTACCACATTTATTCAAAACTGATGGGAAAACGGAGCAGACAGTTCTGTACAAGAAAACGAATGTGTGGTATTGAAAACCAATGAGTCCCATAGCCCTGCGTTCCACCCCAGGCACCTAAATCAGACACCCAGTCAAAACGCTTTTAAAAGAAAAGACAGTTAAACATACAGTATGTGACGGGTTCAAATTAGTTTAAATAAGGTGAGCATCAGGCATTCACCTAACCATCAGTCACGATAGATCTTTAGATCTGCATGTTGTTGTTTTTTTAAATTATTCAGGAAGCATATGCTCTGAACGTTAGATCAGTAACTCAGGTGCTTTGCCAGATCAAAGTCTAACCTTTTATGCAACAGTAACCCTATGGAAACCCATTCCAAGCAGGCTGTGCCTCGCTTCATGCGAAACCAACTTTGAGCGAGATCTGGTTTCAGAGGCAGCCGTGCAGGAGTGACCCCAGCACTCCGACGAGTACTTTCTCAAGATCCCAGAACATCAGCCACACGCAGCCGAGCTTGGGCCTTTTCCTCGCTGCCACACGCGGGACACGAAACTACCTCGCAGATCTTGAAGATCAGCTGACGGGAGAAAGATAAACTTCTGACTCATGAGTGATGCCTCAATCCCTTTATGGTTTAGTTTACCGCAATTACAACACCAGCTTAAACGGCTAACCTGATGGCTAGGCAGATCCAAGGGAAGCCCAGGTGCTCTGCTTCTAAAAGACAGAGGATCACCTCAATTCCTGATGAAAGGCAGTGTTTCACCTAAGCGAGTAAAACAAACAAACAAACAAACAAGGTCCCTCAATATATGGGAAAGGAACAATTTCCCCACAAAAAATATCACCCCTGAAGAGTCAGTATTTGTCAGCCTTACCATTAAAAAATGCATGACTGAAATGGTAGACTATTTGGCATCTTCGCCCACCTATTTCCATCGGAATTCAAGAAGAATATTTGAAAGTGTATCTGGAATGATAACATACATTCTATCAGCACATCAGCTAGGCTTATTCGTTACTGTAGTGTTCTGGCAAAGGAACAAGAGAAAGAACCACAGGAATTCAAATGGGAGTAATACTTGTTACTCTTCGTGTATGCAGCCCTGGTTTCAAGCAAAGGCACAGGTAAAGGTTTTTTTCCCCACGCTGAAACGAAAAGAAAAGAGACACGACGTCTCGGCTGTAGGGCCTTCAGCAGGTGCGACCTCTTTGTATGTCGCGCCTGTATTCTTTATACAGTCTAGTCTTCTGCGCGCACACCGGCTCCTGAGAGAAAAAGGCTTGCACAGAGATCACTCACTTTCAGCTCAGCCTCATTTCCAGGCGTTTGTCTTACTGCCGAGCTGCACTCAGCGACGTTAAGGGCTTCCGGAGAGGGGAGGCAAACCGGGACATTGATCCGAAAGAGAAAGTCTAGTTTTTTTTTAATTTTGAGCACCTGAAGCTCTTTTTAAACTACACCCTTTACTTTGCCAGGAAGGTCAGTTGAGACATTCTCGTTTACAACAACAACATGGAGAAGCTTCGATACACCTGGGGGCTTACTGGAGCTCTCAGAGAAAACATCTCGCTCAAGGGTACAACAGCAGTATTCCACTCTGGTCCTGAACCCCTGCCTGATCTGTTCGATTATGAAAGAGTTATTAATTCACTCGCAAAGCAGTTTAATCGCGAACCATTTAATAGATTGTTATAATACTTCGCGTTATCCGTGAGAAGCAGGGATTACTCGGCAAGAGCTATGCAGCGCGTACTGAACAATGTGAAGCATTGTGCTTCGCCGGGACAGGTATGTCAAAACGCGACTGGTGTTTTTTTTTAATGGCATTTTACCTCATTGATCTGCCTCTACGTGCAATCTTAACATCTGCGATTTGTTCAGGTTACTTTAGTGTCAGTATCGCCATCACAGATAATAATTGAACAATTCCCTTCAGCAACAAAAATCGCTTTGCGTCGAGTACAAAAAAATATAAATTAAATATTAATCTAGTCCATAGATCTCTTGCACTGACCCAGCAAAACAACTTCAATCGACCTAAATTAAGAACTGCTAAATAAGATGCTTCTAGTTTAACGTTAACCCGGAATATTAAGCCACTGATTAACTTTGCTTAAACAGAAAGCTCGGGTTGAACGCGTCGTGCTCACCATCGGAAATACTTTGGGAGGGGAAAAAAAAGTTATATTCGTGTGCATTTTACCTAAAGCGTTTTGCACCTCAACAGGTTTCTCAACACAGACCGCGCGTATCCGAGTCGTACACCTGGAGACCTGCGGCACACTTTAATTAAAACGATCTGTGATGCGCCAGCAAACGAGGTACCCCCCACACACACACACATTTTGACTCCCAAACAACCATGCCAAGCTGCATTTCTGCCACCGCGGGATTGCTAATCGGATGCATTCGCTGAAAACCGAAACGGGGGCCGGCAGGGCAGTCCCGGGTACAGCCCGACAAGGGGAAGGTTGAAATCGCAACACGACCCAGCGCAAGGTATATACCTCCGTCGCCTGCAGGTTGAAAGCATCGGCTATTTTCCCGTAGAGCTCCTTGACGTTAGTGAAGCCCTCGATCCTGCCGGTGGGGCTACCGTGCGCCAGTTGCGTGTGGAAAACCAGCTTGGGTCGCAGGCTGGCCGGCGGGGGTGGCAGACCAGCTCCGTTGACCGTCGCCTTGGCTCCGCTGCCTCCGGCCAGTCCCCCGCCCTCCTCATTCTCCACCAAATTCGAGCTCTCCCTCGACTTGTTCTTCTTTTTCCTGAGTCCCAGTGGCATCTCGCTTCTCCGGCTTAAGCCCCCACCACCACCAGCACCGCCGCTGGCGCAAGATTTTGTTTGCTTGTTTTTTAAAAAAAAAAACCCCAAAAGATTTCAAAACATAAGGCAACCTGCGCCAGAAACTCTCGCCGGGAAATCAACCTGCGGAAAAAAGGTTCGCCCTCCTCTGCCTTTCACAGTCTCGACTTCGTTCTTCGACAGTGACACGGCGCCAGCTCGCCGATCGCCGAGCCCTCAATATTCAACAGGTAGGGCGGCCAATAAGAACGTGTCTTCCCGTTCGCTGTATCTGCAAAAACAAAAAAAGAGGCTCTGCCATAGAGTTTAACAGGCGGTGAACAAAGACTTCACTGTTGCGACATTGTGCGAACGCAGGCGCAGTGGGCGAGGAGTCCAGGGCGGAGCAGTTAACGCGGAGGACGTCATACCGAAACTTCTTCACCTGTCGCAGGTGATATCAGTTTGTTAAAGAGACAGCACTCCCTTCCTCAGCGCGGCAGCCTCGGGACGTGTGGCGCAGATCCGCACAGGGCGCGGATTGAATAAAGCACGAAGGAGAACACGCACACGCACACGCGGGACCGCAATTTAAGTGGACGAGCCCTGATGCAGGTCTATCAGGAGCCCGGGCGTCACCAAACATCTCAACTTCTGCTGGTATCGGTCTCAAAGGGTTCGTCCCTGCCTGGAGAAAAGCAACTTCTGATATTTCATGTGTATGCCGAGTAGTAAAATGCATATGTGGCTTAATTATTATTTTGTAGGGGGATTACAAATTAAATCTTGGCCAAGAAGAAATTCAACTTTATTCAGAGATCGTTAACTCGCTGAGTGGAACTGATGGGGATGTCTGCTTTTTTCCATGCTTGTAATGTTATGTTCCTCATTGTAAAATTATCAGAAATAAACGTAGCTGCTTGTGGGGTGGTGTGAGGTCCTGCGTTTGAGTTTATGGAGCAAAGACACTCCAGTATTCTGGGCAGGTCCTTGATTAGGTGATTTTGAGTAATAAACTCGGGTAGTTGATACAGTATTATGGGGTATCTTGTCAAAACCATTCATTTGCCCGGGTTTCCTTTACATTATAGTAATTTTACCACATTCAATTCAATTCCCTTTTATATAGCGCCTTTCACAACAAGGTTGCCCCAAGGCGCTTAACAATGCAGTTGATGATACATTTTGTCAATACAGAACAGGAGACCAGAAGACAACGGAGGAGAGGAACCAAAGACTCCTTAGTAAGGAGAAAAAAAAACCCTAGGGTACACTGATATTAGCAGTGGAATTTATCTTAAAAGGGTACATGTTAACAGAGTCTTGATCATGTCTTGTTCTAGATCGTTTTAGCATAGTGTAATCAGTATTTTTGGCTTATCTAAACCCATTTCATTTCCACCTGTTGTACAAGCAATTGCACAAGTAGGAAAACTGTTGCATTTATTCATAGGAAAACGGCATCACACATTCCTGTGTCACTTCTCTGTCCACTCCTCAGAGTACAATTATATTCCCGTTGAAAGCACAGTACACTGAAGACACGGATCACATTCCCCGTTGTTGTTGTTGTTGTTGTTGTGGGCAAGGAAAAACAGCTCAGCTGACTGCTGCTTCAGAGACAACAGGCCCTCGTAAAGAGGAGCAGGGAAACTTCTTCCAGCTCACCTTGAACATGGACTAAGATAATGGGTCATACCAGTTTGTTATTTGTTTGCACAGACCCCTCAGTTCACATCCATAGCAAGCATGATTAATTCTGGTGAAGCAGCAGGCATTTTTCCTGCCTTGTCTTTAATCCTTTCCATATTGATGGAGAAAACGGCATCAGCTTCCTGCAGCCTGCCCGGACCCCATGAACAAGAGCTTATCCTACTGGCTGTGGTAGCACTCATTATACAGGAAGCTGGCAGACAGAGAAGTACAGTAGATAAGGGTAAACACAGACCCATTCTCACCACAGACTAATTTCAACACTCTCCAATGGTCTTAGGAAGCCCGTGTGCACAGAACGGTTGTGCTGATAAAAACAGACTTATTCATGGGGATGCATTTTCATCATGTCTTTCTAAAGTTCCCCCCCACCCAAAAAAAAACTGACTCATGCACAGCCAGTATCCAGTGTGAATACACAAGGGTTCCCCTCTGACATTTACAGGGTGTCAGTTTGCCAGCATACACCAGGGGCTCATAGAGGACTGCTAGGAAAGACACAGTGTCCTAACAGGTGGTCACAGTTTAAATCAACCAGAGTTTTAAAAAGTGGAACAGTGTGCCACTTTCCGTTTAATGATTTTGTTTAGCAACCCATTGGAATGCCAGCAGACCTCACCTGCAGTTGACCAGGACCAGAGATGTCCAATGTGGACTGGCACAACTGTGCTACTTTCACAAAAACATTTTTACATTTTCTACAAACGTCTGCAGATTTACAGTTCAGGGAGCAGGAAAGCACAGGCTTGACATAGTACCGTACTTAAGACACCCCTGTACAGAAGAATGAAATAGTGCCCTCAAGTGGCACTATGTGCAAACTCCCAGGAATCTAATTCACAAAGGTATTGGAGTTATGGCAAACTCTGGGGATGTTACAAGCAGTTTAATGAATAAGCTCCATTCTGCTATATGCTCAAAGCCCGTCTTCCCTGCTTGCACAGCGTTTCTCTTTAGGTCAAAGCAGCTCCTTCTCAGCCAAACTCCCCAATGCCATTCTTTAATATATCCCTTAACACGGGTGCAACCTGCTTCTGCTGAAAGACCGGATAATGATTGCATTTACTGATTGACGATTTTGCATTTGTGGTCAGGCCTTCCAAAAAAAAGAAACTGTATGCTTCTGGAAGTCAAAGACAGGAAGGAGCACAAGCTGAAGTAAATCTAATAAACCACAGAGGAGTGGTGGTGGTCTCGCAGTAATAATCTGACCAAGAAATGACTCGGCAACATTTTGAAGACATCAAAACTTTTTACTTACACTTTTCGTTTGAGTCGTAGCATGCAAACTTTCTTTTTTAAAAAATAAACACCATATCGATAAAAAATATATATATTGCACCGTCCTCGAAAGGGGTCTGACCAGCGGGTACTGTCCGTACACGAGAAAGGGATGTGCTGTGGCCACTGCTGCCCTGCTCCTGTGGAGTCCTTTAAGACACGGGCAGGTGGCGTTTCAGAACGTCCTTGGCGCTGGCGGGGAGACTGTCCGGAAAGGCCACGTCAAACTCAACTACGAGGTCACCTCTCTGGTCCGGGTTTTTGGGGAAAGGGAGTCCTTGGCCGGAGATGATCTTCCTCATGCCGGGTCTGATCACCTCCGCACACTTCAACGTGTAGGATTTGCCGTCCACCGTCGGCACGGTCACCGAACAACCACACAGGGCCTGGAAGGGAGGAGAGAAGAAGAAAGTGATGAGATGCTCTTAAGAGGTGGCATGGTGCCTCGGTGGTCAGCGTTGTTGTCTCGCAGGGCTGGGGACCCGGGCTCAGCCCCCACCCAGGGGTGCAGCCTGTGTGGGTTTCCTCCCACAGTCCGAAGTCCTACCGGTAGGTTAACGGGCTTCTGGTAGAATTAGCCCTGGTGTGAGTGGGTGTGACTATGCATCCCTTCCAGGTTATCCTGGCTGTCCTTTTACAAACCACTGTACCACAGATTAGGGTCAGCGGCCAGCTAGGGGCCCGTCCACCCTGCCTTGTGCCTGTTGCTTGAATGGATAGGCTCCGGCTGTCGGGCCAGGGACACCTAGAGGACACTCTACTTCTGTCCTGTTCCCAGTTCCCTGTGATTATTCGTGTCTTTCTGGTGTGCCTTGTTGTGTAGCTTATTTACTTTCTGCTCTGCGACTCGCTCAGCATTGAGGTTCGGATGTCCTGTGACCCACCTAGCACCAGGTCACTCCTGTCCGTGGCCTGAGAGCATAGGTTTCTGTACGGCATTTCCTGACCAGCTGAGCCCGGGCTAACCCCCGTCTGGCGCTACGCATAGGGTCTTTTTCGCTCTCCTGCCTTGCCGCAGTTTGTCTCTTCAGACATCCATGACACTGACCCCCCCACGACCCAGGTGTGGATAAAGTGGTTTGAAAAGGGATGGAGATGCTCTTCGAGAGAAGTGCCCCGGTTTGTATGTTGAGCTACATAAAATACAGATAACATTACTGAAGTGTGGATTCCACCGAGGAGCTCCTTCTTAAAGTGGTAAGAGGCCTCATTGCAGGCTTCCCATCCGAACACCTCCACAAGAATTTGGACCGACTTGTTGCTCACACTGCACCACTTTACTGCAAAGACTGGATTAAAAAGAAAACCATCCCAAAAGACTGAGAGCAAACACTGTGGAGTATTGAGCCGAAACCAACAGGAGCAACAGAGGTCTTGCTCTGTGTGCCTTTCAACACTCATAGAGTTTTCTAAAAAAAAAACAAAGCACCACAGGAAGTGAATTAATTCAGTTCGGTTCTTCGAGGGATCGCTCGGGTTGCACACGGAGCTAAAAATACAGCAGTAAAAGTGTGACCATTTACAGTCAGGAAGCCTGTATGAGTGCATGCTGTAGGTGGGAACACTGTTGCTGTTATTACTTGACATTTGGCAGGAGCCCACGTCTGACGGCATGTTTGAAGTTATGTAACCTAGCGAGTGCACCAGGAGTTACTCCCCCAAAGCACGATGGCTCCCGGTCAACTTTTTCTTCAGATTATCCAGTTACACCAATTAAATGCCTGCATACGTGCGGCTTACGTCAGCCCAGTCAACCAAGGGGCTTCAGAAGCTCTGGGTAGAGATACAGCAGCAGAGGATCCTACTCCCTCTACTGCTCGTGACCCCCAAATCTGCAGGATCGGCTCAGGCTGAGAAGTTGCTCCCCAGACCTCTTGAGAGACCACGTCTTCCCCCTAAACGTAGCTGGTGGTCCTCTGGAATTAAGACGCACCAGGAGCAAAGGTCTCGGGCAGCTTTCAAAGCTTCGCTTTCCCCGTTTCCCTCCCCCGAAGGCTCGCGCCACGGCCTACCTGTCGCAGGCTGACCCGCACGGGGGAGACGATGTTGGAGCCCTCCCTCCTGAAGCGCGCGTGGGGCTTGTCCTTGATGACGAAGACGATGTCGGCGGGGATGGTGCCGGGCGACTCGTCCCCCTCCCGGGGGAAGGTGATCTTGGTGCCCTCCTTCCAGCCCCTCTTGATCTCGATGGTCAGGATCTTGTCCTCGGTGCGCAGGGTGCGCCCGTCGGGGTTGAGCCTCCTGCGGGAGATCTTCATCCTCTTGGTGCAGCCGGCGAAGACCTCCTCCAGGGAGACGCGCAGGTCGTGGTGGATGGCGGGGTCCTGCCGCCGCCTGGCCTGGCCCAGGCCCATGTGGCGCTCCCGCGGGAAGCCGTTCAGGTTGAAACCGGGGAAGGCGCCGAAGGGGTCCGCGTCCACCTCCATGTCCTCCTCCTCCCCCCGGCCGCCGGCCGCCTTCCTGCCGAAGAACATCTCGAAGGGGTTCGAGCCCCCGAAGAAGGCGGCGAAGGTGGCGTGGGGGTCCCCGTGGAACGTGTAGGTGAAGTTGCCCCCCTGCCCGTCGCAGCCACCTGGCCCCCCCTTGAGACCTAACGAGAGCCGGAGGAGAGGAGAAGACGGGAGCGGTTCAGTCTCGCTCCCAGAAGCCCCAGGCCTCGCTGGCGCCACCGTGCACGGCTCCGCGAGGCTGGGACCCCCCCTTGGGGTAAAAGCAGGGGCGCCGGGGGCGGTCGCTCGGGACGGGCTAGAGGCCGGCAGTGGCGCTCTGCAGACCCAGCGACCGGCCTGTCTCCCGGGCTGTCTCAGGGAGCCAGGATCGCCACAGAGCCGTGCTAAACTACTCCGTTGGGCCCCTGAGCAAGGCCCTTAACCCCAACTGCTCCAGGGGCGCCGTACAATGGCAGACCCTGCGCTCTGACCCCCAGCTTCTCTCCCTGTCTCTGTGTCTGTGTCTCCCTGGAGAAAAAGCTGGGGTATGCGAAAAGACGCATTCCTAATGCAAGAAATTGTATAGGGCTAATAAAGAAACATTAAACCTCGCTGCAGTGAGCCACCAATTCTTTCATCACCTGCCGGGAGTGGCTGAAGACTTACTTTACTCCCAGAACACACTTCTCGCCCTGGGAGGTAAAGACGCTCAAGTACTTCTACGATAAGAAGGCAAGTCGGGTATACTGTATATTACTGGGCACAAGGGGAACACGAGTACGCGGGGAACAGTCTTTGGGGGGTGACGATGGAGATCTGGGAGCTACTCTCCTCCTATCTCGGACTTTATTCTGATTGATGGTCTTCGCCAGTACAAGGGGGGGAAACTACCCTCTTTCCCAGAGAAGACGAGACGCGTTTCCCCCAGATCCGAGAGAGCGGCGGCGAGATGTATGATCCAGCTACGCAAACCGCTACAGCTTTCCGCTCGGCCACCAGCAGCAGCACCAGCCAGCAAGCTCCAACATAACACCCCCGAAATAAACAGCCTGTGGGTCCCATTCCAGGGACCCCGGCCAGTTGTGTCCTTTTACTGTTGCTAAACAGGGTGGGATACACGCTCTGATCCTTCGGGATCATTCTACGACGTTCTCCTGACAGGATATTTTATTGCCGTGTTGTGCCTCCCCCCTTGAAAAACGGCAAAACCACATTAAATTGAAAAAAAAAAGCCGGTTTTCCTCCTGCTGTTGGCGAAGTGCGGTTTAATCAATGTTTCCGCTCTGCGGCGTTTTATCTTGTGCGGCTCAAATCAAGGGACACGGACAGGCTTGGATGTAAAAGGAGAAACAAAACCCCCCCAAAAAAACTCCGAAAGTATTTCTAATCCTGAAATGCAATTAAAACGATCCGGTAACAACAAACCACACCGAAACGGGGAGGGAGTTGCGTTGGCAACATCTCCACATACGAGATATTTATATATATAACCTCACCTTCTTCGCCAAACTGGTCGTAGATCTCTCTCTTCTTGGGGTCGCTAAGGACCTCGTACGCCTCCGCGATTTCCTTGAATTTCTCCTCCGCGTTCGCGGCCGTGTTTTTATCGGGGTGCCATTTCAGGGCTTGTTTGCGGTACGCCTTCTTGACGTCCTCGTCCGATGCCCCCCTCTGGATCCCCAAGATCTTGTAGTAGTCCTTCCCCATTTTCCGCGCAGCCCGGGAGCCCGCGATATCCTAAGGATATAAACCCGCTTTATAGCAGCCGCTGGCAGGCAGAGAGCGGTGGTGGACAGCAGATGCTAGCCGGGTACTGCCGCTCTTGAAATCGGGGATATTCACTCTCCTCCAAGCCCTGTTTGTGTCTGTACGGCTTATTGCTTCGATACTTATGCCCTTGTGTTTGCTGGTGCGTCTCTCTCTCTCTCTCCGGCGTGCTCCTTTAAATAGCCGCGTCTCTCTCCCCTATTGGTACTCGCCGGAACCCAGTGGCTCTTTCTAGAAAGTAGTAAGTGCTGATCATTGCACGTCATTTCCCATATAAAGCTTACTTTTTTAGAAAAGTCGTTCGCAGGGAGAAAAAATAAATTGATGTAGGCTATCCGAAGTTTTTTTTTTCTCTCCTTTAGGCAAAGGTTAGATTATTTCATCGTTTTGATTGACGGGTTTACCTGAACTCGAAACGCCGAAAGAAACGTTGACAAAGGCCCTCAGTGAACATGGGGGTTTGTAGGATCTCCCCTCGTTTGTGTGGGTCTCCCCCTGCAGTCCAAAACGTACTGGTCCCAGTCCCAGTCCCAGTCCCAGTCCAGCCTCCGACATGCTTAAAAGCTCCAGGGTCTGAGCAGTGGACCGCCATACATCTGGAAACACCGGAGACTCATGTGAGGTTTTTGATGAAATAAACAACGGATCTGTTCAATTAAGAGAAGGGCACTCAGATTATGGTCCCCGATGACATAATTTAACACATCATATGCTCAGGTGATCCCAATGACACGGATCTTTAGCTATAGGTGATTTAAAGGTGGAGCCTTTCTACAGTAGCACAGTCCAGTCACAGGGGATATAAGTAAGATATTTGCACAGGTACAGTCTTAGGTGTCCCCGATCTCAAAAGATCAATCTACCCTTTGTGTAATCCGCCAATGAGCTGCTGAAAGGAAAGATCATTTAACGCATTCTTTAGGTTACTCAAGAGTGCCTACTCAGTCATGAGGTGGATGTGTAAACCCTGTATCTGGTGGGCTCACCTTTCCCATCCATATGTTAAAATGACAGCACCCCTAACAGGTAACTCAAGCCCACAACAGATTCTTCAACGCTGTGAAAATGTGCACTCTAAGCTTCTCTGACGGTGTCAAAGGTAGTCATGACCCCAGCCTGACATCTGTATTTTAATTCCTGGTAACTGTTCCTCTCGTGAGCAGCAACCTAGGCTCAACATCATCACTCAGCAGCACGGCCAGCACGATTGACCATTTCATCTCCTCCACTGACATCGGCCCTGGATGTGTGGTTTCATTCGGGAAACAGCGAGTTTTGTTTTATTTTTCACTTCATTAAAAAAACAATCATGGATGAAGTTTTACAGTTACTATGGTACATGCATCCCAACATTTAAAAAAAAAACGCAAATTCTACATTTGTGGGTGAGTGATATATAGATTTTATGTGTTGCGTCCTAACATCATAT